TGGCCCCGCCACCCCCAGGTGCGGCACCGACAGTCGGGGCAGGTCATGGTGCTGAAAATGAACAGGCTCCCCAGTAACCGGGGGAACACGCTCCGGGAGGTGCAGCTGATGAACCAGCTCCAGCACCCCAACATCCTAAGGTGAGCAGCCCCGGCGCTTGCTGGGATAAGGGGGAGGATCCCGCCGGGAAAGTGGAGACTGCGGAGAGGCCGAGGACCTTACAGCCTTCCCCCCACCTCCCCTCCCCTCCAACAGGTTCATGGGGGTCTGTGTGCACCAGGGGCAGCTGCACGCTCTTACAGAGGTGAGAATGGGCCGGGAAGGGGGCCCCCACCCCACCAGGGGGAGAGATCAGTGGCTGGTGCTTCTGCTGAGGAGCAGTGAGGGCAGCAGGACCTCCTGGGGGGAGTCTTCCCTAAACTTCCCCTTGGGCAGACCAGAAAGGCCCCAGCCGTTCTCTCCTCTCCTCCAATAGAACTTTCTGCCCTGATGCAAATGTTCTGTATCTGTTCCGTGCAAAACCGTGAGCATGGAAATGTGGCTAGTCTGAGAAACTGAGCCTTTAATTTTATCTAGACCTACTACCTTAATTTTAAATAGTTGCACCTGTGTGGGACAGGACAGCCCTAGAATGTGAATTTGGAACCCTGGAGCACCCGCCCGCCCCTCTGACCGTTGTGATCCTCCCGAGTGTCCCCTGGCTTATAGGTGGGAGGCTACAGACTGAAGCCTTGGCATTCATGCCCCTTCTCCTCCCATCTGCCCCAGTATATGAATGGGGGAACCTTGGAACAGCTGCTGGGCTCTCCTGAACCCCTCTCCTGGCCTGTCAGGCTCCGCCTGGCTCTGGATATCGCTCAGGGCCTGCAGTACCTGCACGCCAAGGGTGTATTCCACCGCGACCTCACATCCAAGGTAGGCTGGCCAGAGAGGTAGAGGCATGAGGGGGTTGTGAGACTCCTGGGTTGTAACTAGCCTGTGGATGTTAGAATGTGGAGAATAAGTATGTTAGGATGTTAGAGTAGCAAAGCAGTGGGGGACTGGGGCGAGGGGGTTGCTCTGAGGGCTAAGTACCATGCTGTGTTTGGAGTGATAGATGATACTGCAAGATTGGGGTGCACTGGAGAACCAGGAGAGGGTTGGGGTTATTCTGGAGTAGCAGAGGTTGGGTTATAGATTGGGCGATCGAAGAGCAGAAGGTGATGGGTGTGTGGGATACTGTATGTGTGTGTCAGAATTGTCTGATCCGCCGGGAAGGCCGAAGCTTCACAGCTGTTGTGGGTGACTTCGGACTGGCTGAAAAGATTCCTGTGTACCGGTGAGCTGAGTGCCCGCCCCCAACCTCCCCGAAGGCCCCACCTACATGAAGCCCCTAGGGTGGGGAGGGGGCCGGCCTCCTCTCTTTTTGTTTGAGGGCGATGTCTGAGTGGGTGTTTCTGACCACTCTGCCCCTGCCCTGCAGGGAAGGGGAAAGGAAGGAGCCATTGGCCGTAGTGGGCTCCCCATACTGGATGGCTCCAGAGGTGCTGAGGGGTGAGCTATATGATGAGAAGGTAAGATGTCAACCCTTCAGGTCCCCACGGTCTTCCAGAGACCCTGAGATACTCCTATAAGTCCCTATCCCAAGTTACTCAACACCGTTCCAGATATTCAGGAGGCCCCCAGGACACCCCCTTGCCCCTCACAGGCACCCCTCCAACACACGGAAACTGTCAAGACTCCCCCGTGAATTCTGACATATTGTAACTAAATTCTGACATGAAAACTGGCAGTTCCTCCTCCTAACATCATCTCCTACCCCCAGGCCGATGTCTTTGCCTTTGGGATTGTCCTCTGTGAGCTCATCGCACGAGTACCTGCAGACCCTGACTACCTGCCCCGTACTGAGGTGACTGATGTCCCCAGGTTTGAAAAGGAGGACCTCCAGACTGGGAAATTATAACCAGGAAGGGTTCCCTGGAACTTGAGGTCCTGATTGGGGGCAGAAGGAGAACCCAAGGAAAGTTGACTTGGAGGCCCTTTCTGTCCCCACAGGACTTTGGCCTGGATGTGCCTGCTTTCCGGACCCTGGTAGGGGATGACTGCCCACTGCCTTTCCTGCTCCTGGCCATCCACTGCTGCAGTGTAAGAGCCTCACGCTCCCTGCCCTCCGCCCCATCCATCAGCTGACCAGGCTGTCCTGTCCCAGGTGATGGATGGAGAACTCAGGGACCCGCTTTTGGAGCACTGAGTGAAGCTGCCCCTGTCTCTACCCATCAGATGGAACCTAGTGCCCGTGCTCCCTTCACCGAAATCACCCAGCACCTGGAATGGATCCTGGAGCAACTGCCTGAGCCAGCCCCCCTCACCAGGGCTCCCCTGATGCACAATCAGGGTAAGTGAGCATGACCTTGACCCATCTGGGGTCCTTTTGCCTCTGTCCTCCTTAGAACTCAGGGAATTATCTGGGGGAGACTCAGTGTATTTGTTCATTGAGAAGGCTGGGGATAGGGTGGGGGTGAAAGGACATCTCAAAGAAGATAGTTTTCAAATTCTAGAGCCGTAATGAAGGAAAAGGTAAAAAGTGGCCCGAGGTGACGTCTCCTTTCCAAAGCACCCTGTCAGACTCCCTTTTCTAAGTTCTAGTCCCACCAGCCTCCTGGTGAATAATGAGACATAGAACAAGGGTGGGGAGCCATTATTCTGCCAAGGACCATTTGGATATTTATAACATCATTCGTGGGCCATGCAAAATTATCAACTTAAAAATTACCCTGCTATATTTGGTCAAACATTTTTTTAAAAATATGTTTTATTGATTTTCTACAGAGAGGAAAGGAGAGGGATAGAAAGTTAGAAACATCGATGAGAGAAAACACCGATCAGCCGCCTCCTGCACATCCCCTACTGGGGATGTGCCCGCAACCAAAGCACATGCCCTTGACCGGAATCGAACCCAGGACCCTTGCGTCCGCAGGCCGATGCTCTACCCACTGAGCCAAACTGGTTCTGGCTGGTCAAACATTTAATTAACTCACCCTTAATGCCTTGGCAGGGCCAGACCAAACGATTTTGTGGGCCTTACGTGCCCCACGGGCCGGACGTTCCCCACCCCTGCTAGAAGCTATCAATACTGAGAAGAGTGATCACAGACTTCTCTGTTTATAGGATCTGTTCCAAGAGGGGGTCCCTCTGCCACGCTTCCCAGGCCAGACCCTCGGCTCTCCCGAAGCCGATCAGACCTCTTCCTGCCCCCATCACTAGAATCACCCCCCAACTGGGCGGACAATCTGACTCGAGTCAACCCCTTCTCACTGCGGGAAGACCTCAGGGGTGGCAAGATCAAGCTCCTGGACACACCCAGCAAGCCAGTCGCCCCCTTGCCCCTTGTACCACCATCACCACTGGCCTCCTCCCGGCTGCCCTTGGTGACCACTCCAGAGACCCTACTCCAGCCTGGAACACCTGCCCGCCGCTGCCGCTCATTACCATCATCCCCTGAACTCCCCCGACGCATGGAGACGGTACTGCCAGGTCCTGGCCCTCCCTCTGTGGGCCCCTTGGCTGAAGAGAGAATGGAGTGTGAGGGCAGTAGCCCTGAGCCAGAACCCCCAGCTCCCCAGCTGCCCCTGGCTGTGGCCACAGACAACTTCATCAGCACTTGTTCGTCAGCCTCCCAGCCCTGGTCCCCTAGATCAGGACCTCCCCTTAACAACAACCCCCCAGCTGTGGTGGTGAACTCCCCACAGGGCTGGGCCGGGGAGCCCTGGAACCGGGCCCAGCATAGCCTGCCCCGGGCAGCAGCGCTGGAGCGGACAGAACCCTCGCCGCCCCCTTCAGCTCCTCGGGAGTCCGACGAGGGGCTACCCTGCCCTGGCTGCTGCCTGGGCCCCTTCAGCTTTGGCTTCTTGTCCATGTGCCCCCGCCCCACACCAGCTGTTGCTCGCTACCGCAACCTGAACTGTGAGGCGGGCAGTCTCCTCTGCCACCGAGGGCACCGTGCCAAGCCACTGGCACCCAGCCTTCAGCTGCCTGGGGCACGCTCTTAGCAGTGGGGCCTCCAGCTTTGGCCTTCAGGATGCCCTGTGAGGACTGCACATGCTCGACAGTGCCAGCCCCTGATGGGCTGACCAGCTGCTCCGTATAGGGGAACCTCAGCATGGACTCAAGGGACAGAACATTTCCTATCCAACCCCTGGGCTTGCTGTCCCAGGGGACCACACAGCATTGCTGACACACGAGACTAACACGTGCAAATTATTTAAAAATATTTCAATAAAACTGCCTGGCTGGCTCCGGGCTGCCCCTATCCGCTCAGCCCGTGCGCCCTCCTCCCCTCAGCCCCCCATTCCACCATGGGAGGTTCTTCGGGGAGGCCAAAATCTCTTCTGCACCCTTTTCCAAGAATAGTCCAGTTTCTGGGACAGGATTTCAGGCAGGCAGCAGGCTGCCCAGACGTGTTGGGCATAGATCAGCCCTTGGTCAGGCACTATCCAGGCAGATTGAGGAAATGCTGGAGAGAGAATCACAGGACCTGTGGCTGCAGGTTAGGGATGAAGGGCACAGGCTCTTGTTGGCATGAGGATCTGGAAGAGTAAAATATCAATGAGCTCCACTGTTGACTGTCACTAAGAACCCCCATCCAGCTCCTGGACGTCACATCACCAGCTTCCCTTCAGTCCCAGGCCTTCCCTGCCTCTCTCCCTGTGCAACACCCCCTAACACAAGTATACCAGGCTCCTGGAGGCTGTGGACGTGGCTCACTAACAGGAGCAGGTTGTGCCCCCACCTCCCCTGCTCCCAGCAGCTGGACCCCTGCTCTGAGCCCCTGTCCTCCCAGGCTCCCAACCCTCACACTTACTCAGCTCAGTGGTAATCTGGGTACCTAATAGGTGCCATCTCACAGACACAGGGAAGAGAAGTAGCACAATCTGTCTGGTATGGGTATCTTGTCCACTTGTTTTGTACAGAGGTACATCTTTTCCTTTGGGAAACATAAGACCTAAAGAGTGATAAAATAGAACTGGCATAGGCTCTGGCCCCCACCCTTCCCCTCCCTCCTCTCTCCTTACCCTGCATAAAACAGCCCAAGTTCCAACTCACCCTACCTACCTAGGGCCACATTTGGGTATGGGTCAGGGACAGATGTCTGGACTCCAACCCAAAGAGCCTTTAGGACCAGGGGAGGGCAGAATCACCCAAGGTCTTAAAGTTGCTCCAATTAGAGAACATAGGTGACCACCCTGTTTCAGGGTCCCTGGGGTTGGTCCTCAAAGTTACCGCACTGCCCCTTTACTCCCCTGGAGCAACGCTAGTGCCCCAAGTGGTGGTGACTGAGAAAGTAAACCTCCGCTTGGGTAGCCTTTTCAAGGGAGTGAGAATGCCAAGGCTCTTCACCAGCTGTGAAGCCCAAGCTTCTCAGAGAAAAATGACATGGGGCCCAACCTAGTAATTAAGAAAAATAAGAGCACGTGCCAGAGGCTGCTATCTGGGGGTAGAATAGAGAACAGAATGCCCTAAAGAGTTTGTAATAGAGGAAACGGACAGGCAGGCAATTTCAGTATTGATTTGTGAAAGGTTTGGGAGCGGACCTGAAGGGAGATTGTCTCATTACTATGTCTCTTTGAAGGGATGATACAGTTGAAGATCCCAAAAGTCCTAACAAACTTACCCACAGACTCTTCTAGCATCAGTCCCCTACCTGTCCTTCAACCTGGTGTCAATCCAGTATGAACCAGACGGATCAACTTGTTCCAACACCTTATATACATTGCTGCTATAATAATCCTGAGGGGAGATTCAGAGATGTGTGGAGAATGATGAGAAATAGTGGAATGGGGGGAAGGGGTAAAAGAGGGGACCTGGGCTAATGGAAGAAAATAAATACCCTAGGGGTTTATTTCAGAGGGAGAGGGAGAGAGAGAGAAACATCAATGATGAAAATCATTGATAGGCTGCCTCCTGCACATCCCCTACTGGGGATTGAGCCCACAACCCAAGCATGTGCCCTTGACTGGAATCGAACCTGAGACCCTTCAGTCCACAAGCCGAAGCTCTATCCACTAAGCCAAACCAGCTAGGGCAACCTAGGATCTTTGACAAGAGAACTGTGCCCATCTTTGATGACCTTTCCCTGCATCCTCCAAGTGCCACCCTGCAGATGCAGGCTCACCCTGCAGTCCCCCTCCCAGCTGGGTAAGAACTTCTGCCAGCCTGTGAAAGGCAGTCATTCTGTGGGCTGCTGTGGTCACAAGGAAACAGTCCCTACAATCCAGCCCACCAGGTCTGGGGCCTCTCTGCCTGAGGGGTCACGACAGTCAAATACTTTGTTAGGCAGCCCAGAACACTGACCAGAAAGCTGAAATGAGAAACAGGTAAAAGTAAAGACAGCTCATAAGTCAACTCTCATGCTTGGGGCTGCCTGAAGCACTGTGCTGAGAAGCTGCATGGAGAAGGAATGCATCCACAGGAAGCATGCCATGTGTGCACTGCCATCCCTGACGTGATGACATATGTGCCTTTACCTAATAGTACCCATGACTGACTGTAAATAAAGGTATGCTTACTGAATAATACTCAGTCACCGTAATCGTGGCCAGGTTGGAGGATAGAGATTTACAATAGTTTTGGCTGTCTTCCCAACTTCTTTTAATAAGTGAGATGTAAAAGCAATTCGTTGCCATCAGTATCCATCCCACGGGACAGCAGGGGCCTAAAAAACAGAAAGAGTGGGACAGCACAGCCCAGACCAGAGGGAGATCTCAACACTTGGAGTGAAAGTGTTGCTCAGCGATCTAGTTGCTAACAGTGGTCTCCAGTCTACTCTCAGCCCTTCACTGACTTCTAGTCCTTGATCTTTGCAACCCTTCTGGAAATGCCAAGCCTGCGTATACTTAGTAAAAGCCTTAACATCCAACAACTTTCTCCTAACCATCTGGGAGGTTTATTTTAATAGGGCTAGCAGTACTATTCCCAGTTTCTGAACAATTACAGTCCACCACCACCCCATTTTGGCTAACCTCACCTGGGCCCCCATAAGTGTTCAATAGGACTCTCATTCATCTCATTAGTTCCCTATCCCACAGACCTCAAGCTGCTAGCCAACCTCCTGCCCTCTCCACTCTTCCACAAGTAGACAACCTTGGTTCCCATTGTGCTGAAATTGTCAGACACTTGATGTGAACTCTCTCCATTTCCCTTCCCTCCACCTCAAAATGTGTCTCTTCTCTGTTCCTCTTTTCCTGGCCATCCATAAGAAATAAACAACCCACTTTCTTTAACATCCTACATCTCAATCTGTGCCCCTGACCCCAACCCACCTCTCTCCTTGCTTTGTTCCATCAGTCCTACCCTCCCCGTCCCTTCCCCTCACCCCATCACTCAAAAACCATTCCTTCTCTACTAGCTCCCTCTCTTCTGTCTACATTTTCTCATGTGTCCACTCAACTACCCTCTGGAATAAATAGTAGTTGCAGTTGCAGTTATAGTTCTTGCCCCACCACCAGACTGCCCTTTGTAAATCAGTAATTTATTTTTTAACTATTTTTCCCACCATCATTTATCCCCCATACGCCTTTTTCCACCTCCACCCTCCCCCTTCCCTAGTATATCAGTAATTTAAAGGGGGAAAAAGTTGATGTGGTCAAACTGAAGAGGGTGAGGGAAGAAGTGATATGCTGAAAGATAGGCAGGGGCCTTGAACGCCATGTTAAGGGATTTTTTGTTTTCATATTCCAAGGAAGAGAAAGTCAGTGTGGGGTTTTACATACAGGAATGTTGCTCGCTGCCTGTATCCCAATGCCTGGGCACGGTGCTGGACATATAGTATGTATTCCATAAGCTTTGATTAATTAACTGGGATGATATGATCAGATTTTTGTTTTTAAAGATTACCCTGGCTGCAATATGAAGGGTGGAATGAGGGTGTAGGGGGGTGTTTAGGGAGAACATCCTGCAAGCTGTTGCAGTTATCCTTGCAAGAGATGGGGGTGGGCAAAATGTAAGTGGACATATAGACTTGGTGGTGGGAAACGGAGGTCATTCCTCTCTAACGGAATAGGGCTTCTGCTGAAAGCCAGACGGGGCAGTAGGGTAAGTTCTTATGGAGAGCGGGGCGACCACTGCGGAGTTGCCAGGCAGCGCTGAGGCCCCAGCTGAGGTTGAAACTAGAGTTTCAAGGCACCAAGCAGAATGATTGCACAATGTGGCTCACCTGGGTGCAGGCGCGGGCAAGGTGGGCAGGGGAGTTCATCCAGAGTTGAGGTATCGCCAGTCAGGGGCACCAGAAGGACAGTGGGACAAAGGAGTGAGTGACTGAAGTGACCCCCGGAATGCAAGATGGGCAGAGAGAAGTGAGGACAGGTGAGGCTGCCAGGAAGGGAGGAGACAGGGTTCTCCAGGGCGGAGAACTCGGCGCGGCTGAGGAAGTGTGGGGAGCCTGGAGCAGGCAGTAGTGGTCAGAGTGGAGGTCTGAAACCCTCCTTTCAGCAGAAGAGCAGTTTGGGATGCTGAGCTCAGGGCAGCTGTGGGAGTGGGTGGCAGCATGGCATGGAGCTGAGCGTCATAGAGATTAACAAGGTAAAAAATAAAACGCGGGCTGGGGGTGGATGCACATAACCTCCATCCCTCACAGCAGACCTCCCGCCCCTCCTCTCCCAGAGCAGATACCTGAGGGGTGGAGGTGTTCCAAGTTGGACTTCCGCGTTTCCGGCACGCAGAGGGGCTGCAGGGATGGATATGGAACACTTGATTACAAGCAAAAAGAACCAGCCTCTCCTCCACGTCCCTCCTCTGCGTCTCCTCACGTCTCAGGGCCTCCTTTGTCTCCTCCCAGCCGGCCAGCCAGGCCTGCGACTGCTTCCTGACGGCCTGGCAATCGCGCTGTTGCACCTGCAGCGCTTCCTGCGTCTGGGCCAGCTCCCTCCTGGAGCCCTGCAGCTCCCGCTCCTGCTGGCCCAGCTGCGCGCTCTGCAGGCGGAGCTGCTGCCTCAGGCTGCTGTTGGTGGCGTCCAGGGCCCTGCCCGTGTGCTGGAGCTGCCGAGACACCTGCAGATCTGCTTGGCCAGAAGGAGAGATGTGGGTGCCCTGTGCCCTGGGACCCCGCGGCAATCCTTTCCCTGTTGCTTGCGACAGTCTGCATGCCAGGCGGAAATGTAAGCTCTGGCTGCCTGAGGTTTAAGGAGTGACTGGACTGGGCGAGGTTAATTTAGACTCGGCAAACTGCGGCTCGAGAGCCACGTGCGGCTCTTTGGCCCCTTGAGTGTGGCTCTTCCTAAGCCTTAGGAGTACCCTAATTAAGTTAATAACAATCTACCTACCTATATAGTTTAAAAAATTTGGCTCTCAAAAGAAATTTCAATCGTTGCACTGTTGATATTTGGCTCTGTTGACTAATGAGTTTGCCGACCACTGATTTAGAACAAGACCAGGCTGGAAACCGGACCCCAAGCTTAGGACGGGGTGGTGGTAACTCCGGCCCCTGCTGGGGGAGGGCAGCTGCTGGGGGAATGCGGGGAGTGGGAGATGGGAGCCATACTCACAGCGCACCCCCAGGGCGATGGCAGCCACCCCTAACAGCAGGCAGGTGAGGAGCAGGCCCAGGAGGAGGTATTTCCAGCAGGTTGGGCTGCCCTGGCCTTCGGGAGACAGTGGCACGAGGCGCAGTGAGCCCAGGAACGAGTTTATAAACCCGGGGTGCGGGGCGGGGGCGGGATATTCTTGGGGAAGAGCCTCGCTCAGAGGACGCGGTGGTCGGTCGCGCAGAGTCCCACGCAGGTAGCGGGAAGGCGTCCGGAAGACGGGCTGGAGGTGAGGAGGATGGAGGGCACTGCCTGGCAGGAGGCCCTGAACCCCAGGCCCAGGCGGGCAGGGGTTTGTGAATGGGGGCTATTCTAAGTGCGAGTGGGGAGAGGATCTGGGTCGACACCTCAGAAAGATGGGGTGAAAGGGGCAGAGGAGGGGGCTGAGGATCTGCTGCAGCTTCAAGTACTGCGTAGTTTATGGGCCGAAGGAGAGGGCATTAGAATTGGAGGGTTAGTGCCAAACCTATTGCAGAGATCCAGAGTCCAGGTCAAAGCACCTGGAACAGAATGGATTGCAGTCTGCCTCCTGCCCGTCCGGGGTCCCACCGGGCCTTCCCCAGACCCCTCCGCGCCCTCCGGAGTCGGCCGCCCACCCTCTCCCGGGACTGCTCTCAGCCCTGCCCCTCCCTCCCTGCCCGACTCCCCGGTTTCCCTTCGAACGCCTCCCCGCAGGGCTGCCCTGAGCCCTGCCCTCTCCCCAGGGGACCCACCTTCCCCTGGAGCGAGGTCACCCTGCCCCTGGCTGCCATTTATCCAGGGCTCCTCCTTCTCTTTGCTAGGAGCCCCCCTCCTTTCCCCAAGGATATTATCCTCCCAAGACGGCTCTGGACTCCCCAGCTCTAGACACAGCGTCCCCGCAAACACCCAGCCCTGGGCTCTCCATACCGGCCTTGTCCCCTAGCCCGGAAGAAGCCAAGTTGGAGGCCCCCCCTGAGAGGGTGGGCACTTGCACGTTCTCATAGGTGAGCTCCCCGTCATCGTCAGCCTCTGGGTCTGTAGAAGAGAGAAAAGGGGCCGAGGTGGGAGCTGGGAATGGGGGCTGAGGGGTGGGCGGGGTGGGGTCAGGAAAGAGGCTGGGGATGCAGGATCCAGGAGACCCCTCCTCTAGCTGTTGGTTGTGCCATGTTTTTGCATCTGCACACTGGGGATGCAGGATCCAGGAGACCCCTCCTCTGCCCTCACCCTGTCCTGGCTGGCTGGAGACCCTCTTCTTCAGGGGAGCCTTCACGAACCGCAGGTCTGCGTAGGTGACAGACTCGGCCATGGTCCTGGCACCTCTGCGCCGGCTCCCCTTCTCCCCCTTCTCCCCCTTCTCTTGCCGCTCTCCCCTCTGTCCCTTCACACTCTGAGGCTCTGTGGTCCCTCCGTGACTGTACGGCTTAGTGCGTTGCCCTGTGACTTCTAGTCACAAAAGAGGAAGATGTGAGCAAGTCTCAGACAGATGGGTTCAGTGAAGCAGATGGCATCCTGAGCCCTGGCCAGAGGGGCCGGGGAGGGGAAACTAAGGCCCAGAGCACGGGGCTGGGCTGGGGGGTCACAGGACCACACTCAGGCCGGCCCCTGCGCCTCTCTCTGTCCCACCTTCATGTAGCCCAGACGGCTTGGGCAGTGCAGGCTCCCAATGCCCCCCTCTGATCCTCTCCCCAGATGTGCCCATGCCTCCCTCCTGGCTGCCGGAGCCAGAGGCTTTCTCTGTGTAGTCAGAGCTCTTTTGTGCCCAACTGACCCGGAGGCTCTCCCCAGTCCTCGCTCCAGGGTGGGGCTTCATCCTCCCCATCAGATTGGGGGGCGGGTGTAGTGTGGAGCCCTAGCTCGTCATCCTGGGGTTCCCAGTCAGTGTCCGTTTCCAGAAAGGAGTCTGATTTTTTGGACTCATCTCTCCCCATCAGTTTGGGGACTTCCAGGGTGGACCCAGCTCCCCTCCTGCTGTAGGTCCACAGAGCTCAGGGTGTCTCACTCCAAAGCCCTTGCAGTCTTTGGAGGATGCAGAGAATCTGGGACCACACTTTCTCCTCTGTGACACCCCCAGACTGCACAGCCTTTCCCTGACCCCTTCCACCCTTGTTGCCCCACTGATCACACCTGTGGCAAGTCCTGCCCCCTGCTGGACCCATGGCATCTCCTGTGTCCCAACATCTGAGCTGGATCCAGCCTGTTATCCCTGAGGCAAGGGCTCTGAGCTCGGACTGGGCGGGGGTGAGGATGAGGGCAACCCCACCGTGTGCACCCCTGGAAAAGCCTGCAGCGCTAACCACTCATGCACCCCTGTGGGGGTCAGGGAGCAGACAGCAAAGGAGTTGCATCGGCCCGGAGGGCTGCAGCTTCTTAGACAACGGGAGGCAAAGAAAAGAAGCAGAGCAGACTCTGGACTGGTGAGATCTTGATCTTTCCTTGCCTTGGTTTTGGTTTCTTTCTTACTTTACTAGTAACTTCTTCCCTTAGAAAGTCCCAGCATTGTCCCTTCACACCCATCCTCGAGGAAAAAGGGGCATTTACGGGGAAGACCAGGGGCTGATGGGGGCGAGAGACACCAGGGGAAGCAGGAGGCAGCTGATGAGCTCTCTGGTTCTCCTTTATGGTTGTGACTTAGACTGTGACCCCCAAAGGGCCTACTTATGGGGGTGGGGAGCAGTTGGGACAAGACAAGGTAGGCGTGGGGAAAACCCACCCCTGGTGGGTGACATCCGCCCCCTCAGAAACACCCCCTGCAGCTGCGGGAGGAAAGGGGAAGGAGCGAGTTCCTCACCGCAGGCTCAGCCTGTGGTGTGGTCAGTGGTGTGTGGAGCTGTGATGGGCCGGTGGGTCTGGGGAGAGCTCTGGCAGCGGCACCCAGCCTGCCCAGAGGGGGCCGCTGAGGCAGATGTGCACATTTGCCACCTGAGGAATGAGTCTCAGGGAGAGGCAGGTGTGTGTGTGAGTGTCTATGAGTGTGTGTGAGTGCAGGCACACAACCCCGGCTCTTTGTGGTCTCAGGGATGTCTGTGCGAGGTGAGCATCTAAGCCGCCGGGGGAATTACGCGCGGGTCGGGGGGGCGGGTGTCTGCGGGCTCACGGGTCCCTGTGCTGCTGTTATTTTCTTCCACAGCAGGGAATTCTCAGAGAAGTCTTAAGAGGTCATGGGGACAGATTCTACAAATACTTCCTTTTTAAGGCTCAAAGTTTCCTAGGGTGTCCCTGCAGCTGTTAACTGTCCCTGCTTAATTAAAGTTTCCAACAACCCAGTCCCCTCCCCTGGCACCCGGTCGGGCCTCCCTCCGATAGCAGACGGTTGTGTGTCGGTGACTCCCTGGGGGCCTGGAGGCCTGTGAGGTGAGTGGGAGTACAGCGCAGCTGGTGGCAGCGTGTGGGAGGGTGCAGTCAGGGTTCTGTGTCTGTGGTGTCCAGGGGTGGGGGCGGCGTGTGTGTATAAATCAATTGCGGGAACACTTGCAGAAATGCTATAAACTACAGATAGTGTTCCAGTTTTCAGAGCCACACTCAAGTGAACATGGCTTGTGCTGGAAGCCAAATCCAGCATGTCAGCAGGGCTGACTCATCTGGAAGTGGCTGAGGGCCTTTCCCCAAACCTGAAAAGGATGCATAGATGATTGCTGGCTGCCAGACAGCTGAGGGCCTTTCAATCTACATGTGATTGCCTCCTGCTGGCCAAACACCTGAGCAGCCGGTAGGCAGCTTCCCCCAATCTGACAATGGATTCTGTATACCAAATCCTGCCCTTGGATGTGTATACCTACCTTGCCTTAGGACAATTTGTGTGAACAAAAAACAAGGGGTCCTGAGACAAGGAGAACTTAGTTCCTTTAGCTAAGCAAAACACATGAACAGCCGTAGGCAAGTTCTTCCAATCTGACAGTGGATTCTGTACCTAACCCTACACTTTGATGTGTATATCTACCTCGCCTTGGGACAAATGGTGTTAATAAAAAGCAAGGGGTCCTGAGACAAGGAGAACTTAGTTCCTTTAGCTAAGTCTTCTCTGGCTCCCCAAAATGCCTTCCAAAATTATGTTTCTTCTCTGGACTCTTGATTAATTTACACACAGCACCTTCTCCAGATTCCTGAACCCTTCTAGATGCTGGATTAAGACCACCGGCAGCTTGGATGCCAGGTAAAATGCCAAAACCAAGCTTCCAGTATGTGCTTGAAAAAGAATCAATGTGGCCCTAGCCAGTTTGGCTCAGTGGATAGAGCATCAGCCTGGGGACTGTCCCGGGTTCGATTCCGGTCAAGGGCACATGCCCGGTTTGCAGGCTTGATCGCCACTAGGGGGTGGAGCAGGAGTCAGCTGATCAATGATTCTCTCTTATTGATGTTTCCATCTCTCCCTCTCCCTTCCTCTCTAAAATCCATAAAAATATACTTTAAAAAAAAAAAGAATCAGTGGGCATGCTGCCTAACTTCCCCTTGGAGAGGCTTCGGAAGGGAGAGTGCCCAGTGGGACTCGGATGCACCAAACTGCATGCCCGCAGCGGCCTGGCTGTCCGAGGTAGGCTTGGCCTAGATCCCTCTCCTCTTTGGCTCTTTTGTGATGGTTACTCATCTCCTTAGGACAGCCTGCGTTCCCTTCCATCCTAGGCTGTCTTGTGGCCTCCTTTTGTGAATAGGGATGAGATCAGGGTCCTTCTCTTTCCCCACGTGGTCTCTGCAATATTGACACTCATTCCCTTTCAAAACTGGTCATCAGAAAGAACACCTGTAACTCTGAGCTGCGCCTCACCTGCCCAAATGCCAGCAACACCGGGGGCTTTTAAGAACTGAGGGGCAGCCCTCGCCGGTTTGGCTCAGTGGATACAGTGTCAGCCTGTGGACTGAAGGGTCCCAGGTTCGATTCCGGCCAAGGGCACATGCCTGAGTTGCAGGCTCGATCCCCAGTGTGGGGTGTGCAGGAGGCAGCCGATCGATGATTCTCTCCCATCATTGATGTTTCTCTCTCTCTCATTCTCCCTTCCTCTCTGAAATCAATCAATTAAATACACTTAAAAAAAAAAAGAACTGAGGGGCAGTGCTGTACAGCTTTTCCGGGACCATGATATCATCTGCAGCCCCGGAGGGCAAACACCAAAGCCCATTTCCTGCCTTCTCCTGACCTCTGCTGCTTATCACAGGGAATGGGTTCTAAGGTGACAAGAGGAGGGAGCCCGCTATGAGGGCACCCGGAAAGAATTTGCTGTGTTAAAGGGGCTCATCTGGATCCACTTTGGTGAAGTGCAGCCAACATCAGGGAGTCAAGGAAGCCTCTCAATACCCTGAAAGTCATGTTATCTCTGTCTTAGTACCTTAACCCACTGGCTCCAGGACACCCCAAGCTATGGATAGGGCATGGTCGGCAGAATAATGGCCCCCCAAAGTGTTCACACTGTAATCCCAGAACCTGGGAATATGTTGCTTCACCTGACAACAGGCAGTTTGCTTCGGGGAAGAGCCTTTAGATGGGGAGACCATCCTGTTTTATCCTGGTGGGTCCAATCCAACCAAATGAGTCTTTGTGGGTTTTTTAATCTTTACTGTTGAAAGTATTACATATGTCCCCTCCCCCCACATTGATCTCCCCCCCCCTTCCCCCCTACTCCCCTGCAATCACATGAGTCTTCGAAAGGAAGACACTTTCAGGACCATGGGGAGAAAGAGATTCCGCCTGGAGGAAGGGGCGGAGATTCGGGATGAGAATGACTCCACCCAGTTGCTGGCTTTGAAGTTGGAGGAAGGAACCCTGCGCCCAGGAGTGCAGGTGGCCTCTAGGAACTGGAAAAGGAGAGGGAACAGACTTTCTGAGCCTCCAGAGAGCTCGGCCAACACCGTGACTTGAAGCCATTGAGACCTATGTCAGACTTCTGATCAACAGAACTAGGAGATGAGAAATTTGTCTTTTTTGAGCCACTAAATTTGTAGTAATTTATTACAGCAACAATAGATGAGTTCCTGAACTGTAGAAGAGGCATGATATAAAGGAAAGAACATGATATTATGGGTAAAAAAGACAGCCCTGGCCACTGTAGGTGACTTTGGGCAAGTCACAAATTTCTATCTAAAATATGGGATTGTCTCAACAGTGTCTGACATAAATCAAGGATGTGATTGCTGCCGATATAGTAGGTATAGATTTAGCCAAAGCGCCTTTAGAAGTCTCGGTAACCAAGTCATGAGGGAGAACCGTGCACCATCTTATAGCACTATGGAGGAGATTGGCAGCCCTTTGACCACTGAAGCCAAAGTGTGTCTGTAGGTCTCCAGTGACTTGCCCCAGGCCTCTCGTTGGTCCTGTCTTGAATGGTGATACAGAAAGCACGTTCATAGATGCTGATGGTATGGAGCTAGGAGCTATAATAAAACAAACAAAAAGAGAGTATACCAAAAGGGAAACTCAAGATTCAAACATTAAGGGAAAAATGAGCCTTAGCTGGTTTGGCTCGGTGGATAGAGAGTCGGCCTGTGGACTGAAGGGTCCCAGGTTCGATTCCAGTCAAGGGCACATGTCCGGGTTGCAGGCTCGATTTCCAGTAGGGGGCGTGCAGGAGGCAACCAGTCAATGATTCTCTCTCATCATTGTTTCTGTCTCTCCTGTGGGAAGCCACCTATTGTCTCCACTAGCAGAGAGGTGTGGACAAGGAACCCGGAAGGCTGGTGACCCTTGAAGTCCTGGCAAAGGTCAGGGCTGTGCACCCACTATTAGTCCAGACAATGGTAGCTGAAGCAACTTCCCCATTTATTATTATGTAAATCCTTGCTAAAGGGCAAGTCTGCCTGTTACTGGAAATTGCCTGCCTAAGGGCTATGGGTGTATCCCAAACCAATAAAAGATTGGTGAGGCCTGAGCACTAGTGGAAGTCCTTCCCCTTGAGTTGGACTTGCCCGCCTGGCCCCCCAATATTTCCAAATGTCTCGTCTCTTTCATTTGTGTGCGGCCCCTCTTCCAGATCCTGAACCCTGGACCACGCGGGACGTTGGGGGACAAACACATACACATTACACACTCTCCCTCTCCCTTCCTCTCTGAAATCAATAAAAATTAAAAAAAATTAAAAAGAGCTTATAACTGAATCAAAGAATTTTGTGAGGACCAATAAAAACCTTATTAAAAAAGGGGGGGAGGAATAATGGTTCCAAACCACAGAACAAACTGTAATAAAGGTAAATAACCGAGTATTGATTGAAAAATGAAATTTGGGGGTCAAAAATAAGTAGCAGAAGCGTGGAATGGAGGAGGTCTGGCTGAACAAAGCTTATGTACAAAGTTTGAGGGGAAAGGCAGTTGTCAGGCATTTTGGAGCTCAAAGGGGTCATAGTGAGCCTGACCCACTTATCATACAAATTAGGAAATTGGGCTCAGTAGGTTGTAAGTTAATTATGAACTAACCTCATGCCTATGAGGGCTTGTGACAAAAGTTTGTCCCTATATGGTTGATTTCAGAGAGGAAGGGAGAGGGGGAGACGGGGAGAGAGATAGAAACATCAATGATGAGAGAGGATCATTGATTGGCTGGCCTCTGCTCACCCCACCCTGGGGATCGAGCCCGAAA